CCGTACACCCATACACTGATTCCTGCTCTTTTAGGGTAATAACAGGTAAGGTGTGGCAGCTGATTTGTGCCCACCAGTAGGTAAATTACTACACTTTCTACCTTCATCCATCAGAAGGCGCCGTGCTGTGCAGCACAAGGGTCTCAGCCTTTGGGCTGGGTGCATGTAAATTTATTGTATGTTCCCAGCATTTGTGGTTGTGTTTGTTTGCCACATCTAAGTACAATTCTGTTGTGGCAAAAGCTGGTGTCAGGGTTGCTTTCCTCGTTCATGACTTCACTGTATCCTGGGGAGTCCACCCCGGTACACGGCTTACACCTGAGCTGAGGACAGATGGATTTCAGGAAGTAAATGCTGCATGAATAATCTGCCCTTACTCAAGATGGGTGCAGCTAGAAATGCTGAGGAGGTTGCTTTTCAAAGTTATTATGAATGCATGAGTTTGCTTTGAATAATAAAGATGAATTAAATAGGACTTTCAGTTTACAGTGCTCAGATACAGTTAAGTTTCCAATTTTTCATAAAGAAACAGGTCTAGCTAAATATGAAACTTTACCCCACAGTACTTCTATATACTAGATGTCCTATTTCTTCAGCCTTCAGTGCTAATACACTGAGCCCAAGCTTTCATGGACCCGCCCCTCAGGGATGACATCATCACATAGCCCCAAAACATTACTGAATGAGCACAATTCATTGTAGCAGTAGGGATCGCTGCCACCACCACGTCCAGAGGGGAAGTATCTATGGGGTTTTTTTGTTTGTTTGTTTTTTTTTTGCAACAAAGGGTCCACTAGAATTCAGCTTTAAATATTCGTGTCTTTGGTATGATTCCTTAAATCTCGGGTGTCAAACTGCGGCCCTCCAGCTGTTGCCAAACTACAAGTCCCATAAGGTATTGCAAGACTGACAGTTACAGGCATGACTCCCAAAGGAAGAGGCATAATGGGACTTTGTTTTGCAACAGCTGGAGGGCTGCCAGTTTGACACCCCTTGCATTAAATAAAGCTTTAGATGGATTTAGCAGCATCAAATTTAACAGTATCAGTTATTTTGACAATAACTCTATGCTAATGTGCATACTTAAATTGTTTGTATATTTTTTAAGGACTTATTTAAGGATACATTTTTTTTATTACAAATGTGCAAAAATGTATAAAATTACTTTTTTTCATTGACATATCTTTTTATTTTTAATATTGCCATTGTATCTCACAATTACAGCATTAAACTGACAAGCGTTGCCACCTTCAGGCTGCAGTGCTATCTTCAGTCTGAAGATTTATTTTGTCAATGGAGCTTGTAATTACAATGTCACAGCTGACTGTAAATGACCACGATTGGTTCCAGATCATCAGCGGGAATTGGAGCTGTCAGTGACAGCCTGAATTCAGAGCACCAAGCCTTGCAAATGGATAGCTTATGGCTCAAAGGGAGGTTTATTATTGTATACTCTGCACGGGTCAATGTGGACAGGAAGAAGTTAAAGCCTATATTTCTATTCCAGCCTACACAAATTCCTCTTTTACATTCATGCTTTATGTCTTCTATCAGCTTTTTGCTGTGTTCTGGCTACGAATAGACTGTACAGATGTATTCCCAGTTGTTGCACTGCATACTAAGATGTAGAAGAGTGCGAGAACTGGCAGCTCGCCTGCTGCTAATGCCAAGGAAAAGCCAAAGCTTTCTGTTTTTTTTCGTTTGATGACATTTAAAAAAAATACTACGAGTGTTACTATTGTACAATGTTATATGGTGTGTTTTGTAACGTTCTTCTTAAATGTTCTGTAGGATACAATGATACATCATCTATCAACCACATTACACTGCAGAAGGCTCACAGCGGAGTTAGATGTATAAAGACAGGTGCAGGGAGAGACAGCAAATATGGATTTGCAGACATAATCCTCCACCCCTCGCCCTTAGAGGTCAGAAACAGCAACCCAAAATGTGTCTCTGACAAGTCTACCATACTCATTTTATAAAGCACAAACCCCTTTTTTAATGGGGTTGATTTACTAAAGGCAAATTGACTGTGCACTTTGCATATATATATATATATATATATATATATATATATATATAAAACTGAAAAATTGTTTTTCCCTGTGGCTGTTAAAGCATTGAACAGCTAATCATTAGACAATATTGCATTACTGTCAGGGGCGGACTGACAACTCAGGCGCCCCCCCGGGCAATAGGGGATCATGGGGCCCCTGTATCCTTGTCCAAACTCAAAAAAGCCTATGAAAAAGGTACCAGGGCATCTCATGGGGCCTCCTACTGACCCCGGGCCCTCGGGCAGTGCCCGAGTTTCCAAATGGTCAGTCCGCCCCTGATTACTGTATATTTTATTCATCATTGCATTACTGAATATTTCATCCATTAATGCACTACTCATTGCACCGATTATGGTGTTACTGTATATCCCATACCCCGACTTTTGTTATATTGTTATTTATTGTAAATGGGCCATTTATGCACTTCTGGCTGAATGCTAACTGCGTTTCATTGGCTCTGTACATGTACTTTGCACAATGACAATAAAGTTGAATCTAATCTAATATATATATATATATACGGCTCAATTAACATAATAAAAAATATATAATTATGTGGATGCGCACACATGTGCATATACACACATGGATCTATATGCAAGGGTGAAGGGAACACTAAAGACATGTTCTCTATCAATCATAAAAATATGTGATGTCCCATTCATGGTTTAAACCCCATGGGACACGTGTATTTAGATGGAATATCCAGAATGCCTCCCTTTTGCATAACTGCAAAAATGTATCACCACCTCTTTTTTGAAGACAATTTTTTTCAATGACCTGTACCTGTACTGCCGTAATATCTCCTGCATGAGAATTATTGAAATGGCGGGCCACACTAGTAGAGAGATGTCTTTCTATACTATATAGATGTTCATAAATGTATTTAATGCAACCTACTACAGGTGTGCATTGGCACATCATATTTAATTGAATGTGACTGCAGCACAATGTACAAAATATCTTGCGTTACCAAGCATTGTGGTATCATGCAGTAAAGCACAAATTGTACCACAACACCTAGGTGTAAATCCAGCCTCAATGTTTCTTACACCATAGAAAGAAGGAAAAATATCATTCCCCTCCAATATATTTCCAAGGATATGTCACATTATAATTAAAAAAAAAAAAATCAACCAGCGCATGATATTCACATCCGTAAATACAGTGCAGCTTGCACCACCTTCAGTGGGAAAAAAAGATAATAAAATCGAAGTAGAAAATATTGCTTGTGTAGGCTTTCTGCCATTTTTTATTTCATTAGTGTTTGTTTAAGGTTATCACAAGAGGATAAAGCCATTGAGGTAGGAGGCAGATGTTAGCCATATACGTCGTCTGGCGCTGACAGAGAGAAATATGCTCAGGACTTTAAATTGATTGGCACTATAGGGTCATCACGGTCCTAATGGCTTGCGATCTGGAGAGAAGAGCAGCACCAGGTGCAGACAGGCTGCTTCATTCCTCTAACAACACGAACGTAATGCTTGCATAGAGCGAGGCACTAGATCATTTTGTAGGGTGCCAGGGGATATTAAGTAACATTAATTAGGTGACTGTATCCAGATGTCTCACAAAATCTCCACCGCTGACGATACATCAATATGAACGTCATTTGTTTTCAACTCAACGGAAACCAGACGATGGATTTTTAAAAGCATGCCATGGCTGGCAATGGGATTCAGCTGTTCGCTGCAAAAGGTATTGTGCCAACCAAAGCACAAGAAGGAAACGCATTTTAAAAATGAGTGAGGAGGAAGAAGAGCTTGCACTCTAATGATCAAACCTATGATTTGCATAACAGACACATAATAGGCAGAGTATCAGAGGAAATAATGGGCAATAATGAGATCGGTAAAATAAATCCCTGGAAACTGTATGTTTACTTACTCTAAAGTCACCACTAGATGGAGAAGGAAGACAAGAAACAGACCGCTCAGGCCCGGTTCACACTACTGCAACCTGTCATGTGACTTTGGACGCATAAAGTCGCATGACAACTCGCAGCCCATTTATTTCAATGGCAATCATTCCAATTTATGCGACTAAAGTTGAAACGTCTTATAAAAAGGTTCCTGCACTACTTTGATGCGACTTTCTTGCGATTTGAATTCCATAGAGCAGGGGTCGGCAACCCCCGGCATGCGAGCCAAACATGACACACAGCTGCATTTGTAATAATGGAACGTGAGGGAAGCCTGGGACATCCACCTCCCACATCAGTAAAGCCGGTTGGTGGTTGCAGCTGCTTTTAGGGGTTAACGCGATCGGTTCTTTCCCAGCTCATATCCTGCAAGCCTCCATTCCCACCCACCTCATTCTGCTTGCCTGCATGGCACTGAAGCAGTGTTGAGGGGTGAAGGTGCAGGAGATGGGGCTGATCTGAGGTGCAAAGGTAGAGGAATTGGAGTGATCTGAGGGGTGAAGGTGCAGGAATTGGGGCTGATCTGAGGGGCGAAGGTAGAGGAATTGGAGTGATCTGAGGGGTGAAGGTGCAGGAATTGGAGTGATCTGAGGGGCGAAGGTGCAGGAATTGGGGCTGATCTGAGGGGTGAAGGTGCAGGAATTGGAGTGATGTGAGGGGCGAAGGTGCAGGAATTGGGGCTGATCTGAGGGGTGAAGGTGCAGGAATTGGAGTGATGTGAGGGGTGAAGGTGCAGGAATTGGAGTGATCTGAGGGGTGAAGGTGCAGGATTTGGAGTGATCTGAGGGGTGAAGGTGCAGGATTTGGAGTGATCTGAGGGGTGAAGGTGCAGGAATTGGAGTGATCTGAGGGGTGAAGGTGCAGGAATTGGAGTGATCTGAGGTGCGAAGGTGCAGGAATTGGGCCTGATCTGAGGCTTAGAGGTGCAAGAATTGGGGCAGGAGCGGACTGGCAACTGGGCCCCCCGGGCAATAGGAGATCATGGGGCCCCTGTGTCCTCGCCCAGACTCAAACCACACCCAAAAAAGCCTATGAAAGGTACTAGGGGCATCTCATGGGGCCCCCTACTGACCCCGGGCCCTCGGGCAGTGCCCGAGTGCAGGAATGGTCAGTCCACCCCTGAATTGGGGTGATGTGAGGGGTGAAGGTGCAGGAATTTGCGTGATCTGAGGGGTGAAGGTGCAGGAATTTGCATGATCTGAGGGGTGAAGGTGCAAACTTCAATATTCATTTCTTTCTAGTATTCAAGTCAGCATTACAGCATTACAGCATTACAGCATTTCCTTAATAAAAAATTCTTTTCATGATTGAGAGTGTGAAATTGACTTTTTTTTATATTACCGGCACTCTTAATTTCTTTGAAAACATTTTTCGGCACACAATGCTCAAAACGTTGCCTACCCCTGCCATAGAGCACAAATAAATATATATTTTTAAGTCGCATGAAAGTCACACTGGAAGTCACACTGGAAATCTTTAGAGTCATGCTGGTGTAAATCAAGCCTCATTCAGACTACAGATCGGTGGGTACAACTTATGTATGAGGATTTGTCTCATCTCTGTGTATCACTTGAGGACAGACCCTTCACTGGGTCTAAGCGAGGGTTTACAGCCACTTTAAGCTCTTTTAAGACTCAACCCTATCTCTATGCCGAAACAAATGGATCTTCACCCCTGGCTCTTGTAGCTCAGTTTTGAAGGCCTCATACAACCCACTCCAGGACTTCAATCCTCTCTGATTCCTTCCCATCTCCAAGAACCAAGAAGACAATTTTCTCTCTTCTGGAATGGTTACACTTATACATCCTCTTCACACTGACCTGGGGTTCAGTCCTCTCCCCCCAGCCACTCAATTCAGGTCACATCTCACAGGTTCTTTTGATCAAGACAATGCAGGCTCAGGCATTCAAATGCTCATGAACTTTACTGAAAGCTGCTCGTGATCAGAACCTAACATCTTGATCCGAAGAACAGGCACATAACTTTATTGACACTAAAGTTACTCCTCATTGTTTGAAGCTCTTCTTTTCTGAATAACAACACTGAACAGTAGAGTCCCTCGTGGTCCTGGCTACAAACTCCTGCAGTGTTTACATAGTAGACATTGGTTCTGACCTACTGTACCATAAAAGATGTTCCTTCTTGCACTGCCACTACAGAACGAACTTCAGACCTCAGCAACTGATACCTCTTCTAGTGTTTAGGTAAAACTTTCTACCAATAAGGTAACAGAACTTCTGTTACATCCGCTCAATATCAGTTTTACTGCTACAGGGTGGCATTCCTGTGCAAAATCACGTATATACTGTACATGATTTTGCACTTCCACCACATGGGGGTGGGCACGCGCCGCCAGAGGATCGCTTCTGTTGTTAAATGTCACAGCACAAACCGATCTACAAGTCCTGCTGCTCACTGGCACCTGCAGATCATCGGTCAGGGAAGAAGAACAGAGCTGTGTCTATGTTAGCTTAGGCACTGCCCTGTTGTGACAGGAGAAAGCCATGGATCGTATGTCTCTGCAGAGCTGAGAACACAATCCATCACTTCCCCTAGTAAAAGCACCACCTAGTGTACATCAAGCATATAGCAAGGCACACACTTAACCCTTTGATCACCCTAGATGTTAACCCCCTCCCAACCAGTGTCATTATTACAGTGATTAATGTATATTTTTAGCACTGATCACTGTAAGAGCGTCACTGGTTCCCACAAAGTGTCAGTGCCAGTTAGTGTAAAAATGTCCGCCGCAATATCTCAGTCTCACTATAAGTCGCTGATCACAGGCATTGCTAGTATTAAACAAAAAATCCTGTATATGTACCATAGTTTGGATTCTATCTTTTGTGCAAACTAATTAATATACAATTGTTGGGATTTTTTTACCAAAAATATGTAGCAGAATACTTTTTGGCCTATATTTATGAAGAAATGTGACTTTTAAATTTTTTTATTTGATATGTTTTATAGCAGAAAATTAAAAATATTGTTTTTTTGTTCAAAATTGTCGGTCTTTTTTCATTTATAGCGCAAAGAGTAAAAACTGCAGAGATGATCCCCACTCTATTTGTGGGGAAAAAAGGACATTCATTTCATATGGGTATAGCATTGCATGACCGCGCAATTGTCACTTAAAGTAACACAGCCATGTATAGCAACAAATGGCCTGGTCAGGAAGAGGACGTAAATCTTCTGGAGGGCAAGTGGTTAACATATTATACTTGGAAAGGGTTAAACTTCTGAATAACCCGTTATAAGTTCTTAAAGAACCCACTGACAAGTCCTTAAATATTGCAGCAAATTTGTCACAATGACAAAAATATGCGAAGGTAAAATGGTCCAAAGTGCTACTGAGCCAGAGGTGGGAAAGGGACATTTCCTGGAACATAATGGTAGTCAGTGTATAGGTGTTTTTTCCTTTCAGTGACACCACTGTTGCTGGGACACCACTGATGCTGAGGCATTTTTTTCTTTTTAGTGACACCATTGACACAGGGACATATTTTCCTTTCAGGACACCACAGATGCAGGGACATTTTTCCTTTCAGTGACACTCCTTTGTTCATATTGTTCTTTCTGCAACATTTTTTTCATTAGCTATATAAGCCCCATACTTGTGCACTGATTTTAAACTCATACGTTCACTGTGGTGCACCTCAAACATTGGTACTATATATATATATATATATATACAGTATCTCCCAGAAGTGAACCCACCCCGCACATTTTTGTAAATATTTTATTCTATCTTTTCATGTGACAACACTGAAGAAATGACACTTTGCTACAATGTGACGTAGTGAGTGTACAGCTTGTATAACAGTGTAAATTTGCTGTCCCCTCAAAATAACTCAACACACAGCCATTAATGTCTAAACCGCTGGCAACAAAAGTGAGTACACCCCTAAGTGAAAATGTCCAAATTGGGCCCAATGAGCCATTTTCTCTCCCCGATGTCATGTGACTAGTTAGTGTTACAAGGTCTCAGGTGTGAACGGGGAGCAGGTGTGTTAAATTTGTCGTTTTCGCACTCTCTCATACTGGTCACTGGAAGTTCAACATGGCACCTCATGGCAAAGAACTCTGAGGATCTGAAAAAAAGAATTGTTACTCTAAATAAAGATGGCTTAGGGGCTATAACAAGATTGCCAAGACCCTGAAACTGAGCTGCAGCATGGTGGCCAAGACCATACAGCAGTTTAACAGGACAGGTGTTGAGTTATTTTGAGGGGACAGCAAATTTACATTGTTATACAAGCTGTACGCTCACTACTTTACATTGTAGCAAAGTGTCATTTCTTCAGTGTTGTCACATGAAAAGATAGAATAAAATATTTACAAAAACATGTGAGGGGTGTACTCACTTCTGAGAGATACTATATGTATATACAGTATATATTATATATAATTCTACAAACATTCTGGTGAGCTCTGCTATTGGCCCCATCCCCTGCTCCACCTGATAGGAGGGCGTAGTTTCCCATCTTCACCTTGGGCACTGGATGGCCTTATTCCAGCACCGTATACCACATCCCCTGACCCCTGCACTCAGTATTTTGCATTTCACAAGGAGTGCAAAAAGAACAGAAGAGGCAAAGAACACAGAGCAAGGAGGTCCCACGTTGTCACTGTGCACTTCTGTCCCCACTTGAAACCCAATTTGCAAATATGGAGCTGTGCAGTGATGCTGTGACAAGAAGATGATTGGGCGTGCACATCGGAGAAGGGGTTGCATCTTCACCCAGGGATTTGGATGACCTTGTCTTCATTAATGAGCTTACTTCATTAATGAACTATTTGCTCCCTGGACTTTATATTCAATGATCAGGCCGTCACTCTTGAGTAAGTTTGGTTTTCCCAATGTGACCACGTGTGATTAATATTCAGTTCCTATATATATTATGTCTTTAGTCCATTAATATTTCCAGAAAGATGTGTTGGAAATTTTCTTTGACCGAAGCTATGGGTTCTTAGCACTAGATAACGCTCATTAGGCACATATCATTTGAACCTGTACTTTGTCCATGGTCATGCTAAATTAAGAAAGAAATAGTGGCTTTCAAAATAGTGGTTTTCTGTCTGATCTGATTAATCTGGATGGTTCCTTTTATTTCCCGTTAAGAGCTTTCAAAATCTATCAATTGAGAAAGCATTAGTTTCACCAAGTCACAGTAATCTCATCTGCCTGTATTAATAATATGAGATTAATTACGGCCACACCATTTGCACGTCAAATTCATTTCTGCTTTTTTCTATCTAGGAATCCAAGGAACTATTTGTAGGTACTGTATGTATCTTATACACAAGCATGCCTTGAGTTTTTGAGTTTGATGCTTGACAAATGGCAATCTGGTTGACTCTGCCTGACTTGACATTGAAAGGTTATAGTTGCAAACTTGCTTGATTTGCTTGTATATATTAAGGGACTTAAAGGCAATAAATGTTAGTTTATTATTTGAAAAAGAACTAATTGCATTGCAATTAGTAAAATATTTTCTTTGCCTTATCTGTATAGACAACATAATAGTTCAAGGAGGAATGTGATATTTCATTTTTTTTTCTAATTTAAAAAAATTTACTTACTCTTTCTTTGTTCGGTATATGTTTTATTAAGTTTTACAAATACAAAGTAAGAATTACCAGCCCCATTAGGTAAGATATCCAGTGGTAAGCTATAGCTTCAGTAGTGATGGCCTTGATGTTTGTGCCGAAGTAAGTTCAACTTAAACATCGGTCGTTCGTCTATTCGCTCACCGCACCCCCACAATGCACTGCACTCTGACAGTGCATTGTGATTGGCCAAAGCAATACACCTGACCACAGGTCAGGTACAATGCTTTGGCCAATCACAGCACAATTGGGTGGGGCTAGTGGTGACATCACTGCTAGCTATGCCCAATTGTTTACATCTGACTCGCAAATGTCAGGTCGAAGTGAGTGTTCTGGCGGGTGCGGACGGGTTGGAGGGCGCTTTTTTTTTTCTCTGGCGAGTCGGCGTCTTCGTGACAACGCTGGACACCATAATTGACGATGGATTATATCGAAGGCAACATTTTTTTGGCTTTTTTTTTGTTTAATAAAGGACTTGTCAAAAAAATGTGTTTTTATTCACATTTTACACT